AGGGAAAGAGGTGAACTAAATAAAACAAAGTGCAATAAAGAATTAAAATTGATTAAATACCCAGCTGAGTTCACTTCTAGACCTCTTTCACAGACTGCACATTTACCTCTATAGTTCACTTAATAAGAATAGGTACTTGTTTGAATAGCCTCCATTCATTTGTTACAAGATTCTTAATTATCATACAACATGATATTTACTAAGAAACAAAACCATCTTAAAAGAGTTTAGAAATACTTTTAAAATACAATTTCAGAAAGCATTTTGTTTGATTTAATTGACCCTCAGGTTTCAATTCGTTTTTTTTTAGAATATCCCAGTTAATCAAAGTTTTACCTTCTTTGCACTAAATTTGATCATTCTTCTAAATATCCACTGTGTCCTTACTGTGTGCAGAGATGGGTACAATCAAGGTAATCCCAAATCCCAAAGTTCTTATTTTCCTTAACACCACCATATTTTCCCTCTGAATAATTTGGATATTCAAGCGAAAAATAGTTTAATTTAAATTTTATTTGTTTTGTTAATTAGGACTATATTAAATTACATAGAAATGAGCTGACTTGAACATTTATTTTTAATTTTGCAATTATGGCTTATTAAATGTAACTTTTTGCTAATCTAGTTATTTTTTAAATTTCTTTTTAATAATAGTTGACATACAGTGTTAAATTATTTTCTGGTGTACAACAGAGTAATTCAACATATATACCTTGAAAAATGATCTCTACAATAAGTCTACTACCCCCTGACACTGTACATAGTTATACTGATATTAATGACTCTGTTTCCTATGTGGTATATTATATCCTCATGATTTATTTTATAACTGGATGTTTGTAGTTCTTAATCCCTTTTCCTTTTCTGCCCAACCTCCTACCCTCTACCTCTCTGACAACCATCAGTTTGTTCTCTGTATCTATGAGTTTGTTTCTTTTTCATTTGTTTTGTTTTTTAGATTCCACGTAAAAGTAAAATCACATGGTATTTGTCTTTTTTTGTCCAACTTATTTCATTTAACATAATACTCTCTAGCTCCATCCTTGTCATAATCACAAGATTTTATTCCTTTTTTATGGCTAACTAATATTCCATTGAATGTAATTTGTTTTTACACTTGCAAGATCAAGGACAAATTAAAGAGAAAATCATAGATAATTTAGGTCAACAAAGAACTTGGGCAGGACAATGTGTATATTGTTTTTCCTTGTAAAAGTGGCGACTAGCACAGTGTTTGGCATGTAATACAGTCAGTAATCACTTGTAGAATAAATTTGTGAAAAAAAGAATTTGAAATATAGATAGAGGTTCTTTATGAACATTTTAATAATTGATTTTGTTGTAGTGGCCAATGGAGGTAAGGCAATGAGGTGGCGGAGGTCTTGATTTCAATAGCTTATTTGAAATTTGACTCACCTGTCCACTTCACAGCTTAACTGTAGAAAAAAGTCTTTGTATTAGCTTCACTTTTCCTAGGGAAATAATACAGTTCTATTATTTAAAAAGTACTATTTTGCTGAAGGACTTCTTATAATTCAAAGGAGATTTTCAAAGTAGCCCAGAAAACTTATTATCCAAAATTGTGTCATAGTAAATGTACATGCATTTAAATTCCTGTAGCTGAGACCTATGCTGCTTACTGACTCTGCTATAAGGATGCTCTGCTTGGGGTCACGATCTTGTCTGAACAAGAACTCACAGGAGCAGTCAGTCCCTCAAGAAGAAACTAGATCTCCTGATGAAAAAACTCCCTACAATGTTTGTTTCAAATGGTTCTGTTCCGTTATAGCTGGAGGAATTTTTCAGACAAAACATTAAATTAGAAGTCAATTAAGAAAGCCAAAACAGTCTGACCACCGTACTCCTGTCTTCATGTGGGATTTAGAAGGACTGAGTGACTGCTAGTAGTGTGTGGTCCTCAGGTTCTGAACACTTCAACCCCGTATGACAATTAGGTGACCCTGGAAAAATCTAGAGCTTGAACAGCCATCTTTTCTCTTAAGAAAGATCTTCAGAACATGAATCTTGAGGATGAAAAGAGAAAGTTTTTAGATGAAATAATTTTAGTGGGTGGAATCAGTGGGCTCTTACTCATGTGAAGACTCTTAAGGTGGAATTGCTGAAGGTTTCATTCAATGTGGTGTGTGTGTGTGTGTGTGTGTGTGTGTGTGTGTACCACACCAATAAAAATGACATGCCTTTTCTTTATTTTCTTTGACAATGTCAGGGGAAAAAATAGGTTACATAAATGCAGGACATTTAAACCTATCTGTGAAAATTGGATAAAGCAATCACAGCTATCTCTATTTTAGGAAAATGGATTTCTGGGAAACAGTAGTAGAAGTCAGGTCAAGGTGTAATGCAGTATATACTCTTTGCTACTTTTAAAAATGAAATCCCTCACACCTTTCTAATGCCTATCCTTTTATGTAGCAGATAACATTCCAAATGGCTATAGCCTTTATTTTGAAATAAAGCTTTGGGATTATCTAATTGAGTGAAAGAGCATTCGAGCCCTTTTAAGAGCTAGGCACCTGTAGACAAATGTAGATTTTATTTGTAAACAAGTCTTTTTTTAAGTAAAAAATAATAGGAGCAATAAATGAGCTCTTCTAAAGTGATGTCAGCACAGCACCCTTGGCCTAGACATAGGCTGTAGGTTGTGGGATGAGAGAAGAACCCCTGCTTCCGTCTGCTAGAGATCAAATCCAGAGAATCACAGTAGCCTTGTGGACATTCCAGATAGATAGCTGCATAGCTCCCAAACGCAGAACTTTATTGATTGAACTACACTTGAGTGGAAAATGTCACACATACGGTAAATGTGCTGTTGGAGATGCTCTGGAACTATATTTTTCTGTTGTCAGTGTTTTGCACAAACAACATTCCATGTGGCCATAAACAGATCTGTGTAGATTGCATTGCAGTGTTTTTAGACTTTCAGACTGGTGTTGTGATCTACACTGCAGAAAAAAGTTTGGCATAATTAGAAAAATCAAGGACTTTGAATTCCAGTGTAGAACCTCTTGGTCTGACATAGAAAAAGTGTATCATATACAGCAGGTCTTCAAATAACATTGCTTTGTTCCATGTCGTGTCATTATAACATTGACGAGGAAAAAAATTGAATCCTGGCCAGTGTCACTCTGTGTGGTGTCTGCCATTGTCCTATGTCTGTGTGGGTTTTTTCTGGGGATCCTAGTTCCCCCTGCATCCCAAAGATGTGCACATGAGGTGAACTGGTGTGTCTAATTGTCCCAGGCTACCTTTGACCCTGAACTACAATAAGTGGGTTGGAAGGGAATTCTCTTACTTGTTTTCATTAATCTTTCTTAAATGTCTGTATAGCTCACATTTCTTTCCATGCTTAGTATTAGAAGGATTTGGTTCTTTATTTAGAAGTTTGTGATGTTTTTGTGATGAGAAAATATGCCTTAGGAACGTAACTTGTGTTTATAGCAATTAACCTATGGCAACATTGGTTCCCTTATATTCCCTTTCACTTAAATTCCCATTGTCCAAGAACTATTGACAATGTTAAATGAGGACTTACTGTACATATATTTAGTGCTTTTATATATAGGCATCAGATATTTGGTATTTCCAAGCCCAGGAATTCTGTACAAATGGCGCTCCCTGAAATTGTGAAACCTGGTGGTCTGGTTCAGGATAGGAATTCTAATGCTTTTGGGGTTTGTGGACTCATGTTTGATGAAAGCTACAGATCTTTTCCCTAGAAAAATACTTTGATTCTCCCACTAGGCCTATGCGTGTAAGGATTGTGAATATAAGGGACCTAAAGCTAAGACCTCATTTGGCAGAATTGGTCATTGATCACATGTTTGTTTGACTCCATGCTCAGCCTCTTCCCCCATACCATAATCCTGTTTCCACAACTAAGCCATTGTCGAGCTCATGCTGGCCTACTTTGTCAGCCTCATCTCTTGCTCCTTCTCCCGTGCATCCTGAGTAGAAGTCACACTGCATTACTCACAGTAGTGTCATGCTGACCTGTGAACACGCTGTTCCTGCTGCTCCCTGAACATCCCTCATCACCTGCCTCACTACCTCAAGACTCAGCTCAAAGGTCACCTTTTTTAGGAAGACTTTCCAGCCCTCTTTCCTGCTGCCTCCATCCTCTTAGATCCCCCTCCTTTACACTATCATTGTACTCTCTGCATTCCGCAGTCATAATTCCATTTACCAAGCTGCACTGTAATGGATGCCAACTTGTCTACTTTTTCTACTATTTCAAGGGCATATATTGTGTGTGTGTGTGTGTGTGTGTGAGAGAGAGAGAGAGAGAGAGAGAGAGAGAGAGAAGAGAGAGAGAGAGAGAGAGAGAGAGAGAGAGAGAAGAGAGAGAGAGAGAGATTTGGCTGAAGTATTGCTAGTGATTCAAAAAAGCAATTTTTTCTTCCCAGCATCAGATACAGCCTCTTGTATCACAGTGTGAAGATATATTTTTCTCCTAAAGAAATCTAACACATGCAATATTAATAGAGCCATATGCTAGCCCTCTCTCAGTACTATGGATTCCACTGATAACACTGAAAAATGTATTCTTGTTTCAAAGGAATAACATGACCCCATTTCTCTGATAATAAATTCATGTTTTACTAGGCAATTGTTCCTTAGCAATACAGTTCTATTTTCTTGATGGCTTAAGAGGAGAACATCTTATAAGTTAATTTTTTAACTACAATTTTAAAAGTAATTTAAAAGCAGTAACAGAATTTGAATATAATAAGAACTCCTGCTATCTTTTATATATATTAATATATATTGATATTATTTTACTAAGTACATAATAAACAGAAATCAGCATTACAGAGATGAATAAAGACTGTTAAACAAGCAAGTATTTCTTTATACAAGAGAATATAGTAGGAAGGCAGGGGTCGACGGAATTCTTGTTTTTTCCTTTATAGTACAAAACCTCATTTTATCACACACTGAAAATATTATTGCTACTTAAATGTCTGTTCCCCCCCCCCCAGGCCAAATTTACAGATGACTGCAAGTTCAGGGAGCGATTTCAAGAAAACAGCTACAACACCTATGCCTCAGCAATACATAGAACTGAAAACACGGGGCGCGAGTGGTACGTGGCCCTGAACAAGAGAGGGAAAGCGAAACGGGGCTGCAGCCCCAGGGTGAAACCCCAGCACATCTCCACCCACTTCCTGCCAAGGTTCAAGCAGTCTGAGCAGCCAGAACTCTCTTTCACAGTGACTGTTCCTGAGAAGAAGAAGCCACCTAGTCCAGCCAAGCCCAAGGTCCCGACCCTTTCTGCGCCCCGGAAGAGTCCCAACACAGTGAAATACAGACTCAAGTTCCGTTTTGGATAATGTTCCTCTTGGCCTTGTGAGAAGCCACAGGCCCCCTCAGGAGTTTCCACAGGTGTCCTTACAGCTCTGGAGAGAAAGGTGGACACAGCTTCAGCTCCACTACACCGCAGGGAAGTCAGGTCATTTGTTTCAGTGGGACTGAAACACAAATGTTTGCTGGTAGGAACTGAACTGGAATTCTTTGTACGGATACAGGGAGCACACTGCCTCAGTTCAGCAAGACAGGAAGCTTTTTGCTGTATGCTTAGTGCATACTAGGACTCTGTTTTCAAGAAGTTAAACAGTGTGGACAATGTATTTTTCTGACTTTTACAGATCAACCCAAAAGAACATACATGACATGTGTCTATTTTTTGTTTGTTTGTGCTTTTTTTTTTTTTTTGGTTTCTAAAGAATATTTTGATGCAGATAAAATATTTTATTAACTTGTTTTTTGTGTTTTTTTAAAAAGTACCTCTGCATTGAGCATATTTTCTTACTTTTATTATTTTAATTAATGTGACATAAACAACCATTTTAATGAATTATAAGTGTGTTTATAGCCCATATGTAACGTGAATTTCTTTTTCATTTTCCTTATTCACTGCACTTTTTATTTTTATTATATATTTTTATCATACCTCAGATAATGTAAGTTTAGTTCTACATCTTAAAATGTTTAAATTTTCTTCAGTACACCAAAGGCTCAGCTTGGATTTGTCTGTGTGTGTGTGTGTTTGTGTGTGTGTGTGAGCGTGCGCACACGCACGCGAGTATATGCATTCATGACATGTGGAATTGTTCCCCTTTTGTGGCGGGGCTATAATGGGTTAGAAGTATGGACATTTTGATGGGATTAATAGTTGGAGATAAGGAAGAGGATTAGAGGTACAAGTATACTAACTCTGCAGCATTTATTGAGATCTAATTCTGCCCTGACTTCATTTCTCCTTTCATCTACTCCCTGCCCTCATTCTTGGAGGAAAACATTTTATTCTGTCCAACAAGCATACACTATGAAACCGGAGTACTTAAAACACCTCCTCTATGACCCTCTGCCGTCCCCACTGTATAGATCCACGGGGAGCAACCCACTTACCGGAAACACAGGGAGAACTGAAGGAGATGAATCGTGTGACAGTTATCCAGGTCCAGTCCCATTGCCAAAAATATTCATATTACTCAGTAGAACACTCTTTGAGTTTCCTATCCTAATGGAAATTATTCCAGTGAATAGATTTGCTTTTTTATAAGGAAAATTTCTGATGTATATTTTTAAAAAGCCAGCTGTGTGATATGGGGAACTTAATTTGGGAATTTGATAAATTGAAAACCGGCATTTAATTGTCAAGCCAAATTGAATGTTGGGCATAAATCAGAAAATTTGGCTTAAGAGAGTTTACATTATTTATTTATTTTCTTAGGTAATCATTTTTATGGCGTTCTATTGTACACAAGTGTTTATCTTCCAAAATATTGCAATAAAAAGGTATAGCTAATGTTTAGAAGTATGTCTTTCATAGAAAGAGCAAGAGTTCACAGGAGGCTTGTGGTTTCTATTTAAGCATGCTTCTTTTCTTTTAAAGAATACTGATAATCTTTCTTAAAAAAAGTATACTTTATTTTGGTGCACAAATGCAAAGTGGAAACTTGTCAAAATTGAACTTACTACAATTTAAGCAGCTTGCTTTGTTTTAATAAAAACAAACTATACCCACATGTGTGTAATATACATAATTATATACAAAATCCATCCATCAACTAAAACATCATGCATATACTCTAGTATAGTGTTTTATTATAAAGCCAATAATTTAATTGAACATTCTCTGCATTTAATGCATGATTTTAAAAAATATAAAATTAATTACCAAACTTTATGTTAAAATTCTCCAGGGTTAATGAAACAATGGAAATTTGCAAACAAAGATATGTCCAACTCTTATCCAATTTCCATATCACTTTATATCACAGTATAAAGCTAAAAATAATACTCTAGTTTATTCCAATGTATTGTTAAGAATTGTGCACTGTATATCGAGTTCTTAGTACACATAAAAATTAAAGTTGTAGAGCAGGAGAACAGTAGACAAGATGATATTAATGATGACTAATAACCAGGTAAATTAATGTAAGGCATATATTGCATTAGGCTAATGCTGCTGATAGTTCATGTTAACTAAAAAATAATAGCTTATCTTGTACCCCTAGTTTGATTTGATTAGTAAATGAAGGTTAAAGTAAGATAGCTACCACATATATATTATGCAAGTCAGGACTCATTAATTTCAAAATTTAGCGCCAATCTAAAAAAGCGCCTTTAAATTAGACTTACCTTATTTACTGGCCATACATAATTACATTTAATTAAAGCTCACTGAAGCAAAAAGTACCTAAATTAATTAATTGAATGAACTCATCATGTACAGAAAACATGTAGAAATATGATTCCTTACTAATACCTAGAACTTTCTAAGGGGGTCCTTATGTGGTTTTTGATGAGTTTTTAAAGTAACTGGACCCATCTAACATCAAATAAAGTTGTTTAATTGTGATTATGTTCATCTAAAAATGTGAATGAATTTTACATTAAAATTTAGGTACCTAATTTGCCTAGAATATAGATGAGAGACACTTTCACACTGATGTTTCAATTTAATTTTACTATGTTTAAGTTATGATATTCTTTATTTGGAACACCAGTAGAGGGAAGTAAGATTTTTAGTAAGATATATAACACTGTGGTTTTTATTTCACAAAATATACCATCATTTCCTTCTACTAATTTGAGAGTGTGGATACATAAAAATTACCTTTGTTCTTTTAGCTGAGTTATAGAGGCCTAGCAGTTCAAAATCATGTGACAACAATAGAGGATCCTAACAAAAGTTATTTCTGAATTTAATAATATCATCTTAGATGCTTTTATTTCATGTGATTGAAAATAAAACCATAAATCTGATCGATAAATTTCTATAAAATTGATCTTGAAATAAAAACTTGAACAATTTTCTTACTTTAACATTTTTTAGTCTTCCAAAGGAAACAGTAACTAAGTTATGACTTCACACATTTTCAATAACAAAATGAAAATATTGCACTAAGCCAAGACTTGAATTCTGGCCCCATTTTTACACTTGCAGAAAGTTGCAGAGTAAATTTGAAAAATAAAAGCAATATTATAGAAATGACTGTAATGGGAAGCACACAAAAATAACTTATCAAAGGAATTCTTTAATATCTACTTCATTGCTACATTTAAATTTTAATCATGTAAAATCAATTTTAAGCCAATTGATCTTTTAAAAATTTTTGAAAGAAACTTTTTGATAAATGAACATGCCCCATATTTTCTTTTTTAGAAGTCAGTCCAATTGCACTGACCAGTGTTTGAAATAAGATTATCAGATGATTAGGTGTCGAAGAAGTTACCTCCTACAACTTACTCTCTGGAAGGAAAGGGAGGAGAACCCAGCCTGAGCTGAGTCAGTGGGGGCATTTTTTGCATCTAAGAATCATATGCAACACTCAGACCATCAGACAATTAAGCTACAAGTCATCCATCAGTATTTCAGCAATTTTATGTAATAAAAATATTAGATTAGATATCAAGAGTCCTTACTTTTATTTTATTATGTTGTGTCCTGACTCTGCCATATAATTATCACAAGTCACTTTTTAGGTCTTGCTTTGTCCTTCACCATATGATCTCCAATGTCAATCCCAGCTTTGAATCAATGACAGCATAAGTCCCGAGTCTCAAAATGTTGAGGTATCCAAAAAAGGACATTATTTGTCTTCAGGTGAAACTGGATAACCACACGAAAAAAAAATGTCAATGAAGCAATAAACATATTTGTAAAGCCTTGTCTTAGATTTAAAAAAATTAGGTAAGAGTGAGATTATATCAAAAGATTTTAAAAATGAGGCCCAATTCCAGGCTTAGCATTTTATGAGGGACTTAATATATTTGAATTAATCAGGAGGGGAATGGTCAGAGTAATGTCATTATTGATAACAGTTCTAGAACCTTAGTTAAACATGAAAGATTTGACCATCTCTATTTTGACAGATCCCACTCTATCCATAAGCCTCCTAGAAATTCGTGAAGAAATATCAGTAATCTCATCTTGACACACTCCAAATAAGGATAGCTAGTAACATAACTTTCCACCACCCTTTCCACCATTCCCTTACCTTTCCAGTAATTCAGTATTTTCTGAGTTCTTGCTCTGCACAAGGCACTCAGCTAGTGAAACATTCCTTGATTTGCTCAGTACTTGTTCACTCCATTTCTTGTGCATAGTAACATCAACGTACTCTCAGATTTTGAAATTCCAGAGGAAATATAGCTGTCCTCACCTCATTGCACATTGCCTAAACCAGGCTCAAGCTAATAAAAGGGACTTATGACATGCTCTTCCCTGATAGTAATTTTGAATGTATTCCTCTGACTTAAACACTTTGTGGAGGTATTGGATATGCTCCTAATTCACAGAACTGGGTATGTAGTTATATTGATAGGTCCCTAGAATATTTTCGGTGCTCCAAAATGCTTATAGGATGGCTATTGGTGCTGAATAAAACTCATTTGAAGATGATGATTAAGATGAAGAGAATTTCATGTAAGATATGAAATGGCTCCTACAACAAGAATAAGAACACCAGGTAACCTCGTCACTGTATTTGGACTTCTCAAATGCAAATCCTGAGTCCAAACTAAAAATTTCAGGCACTTATATTTTTGGAAGCTGCATTTAAGTATTCATAAATTAGTCAGCATATGAAACTTCAATTTCATTGTCAATCTTAAAAATAGGTGACTATGCAAATCCTGATGATTTTGTCATTTGTAAGCCAAACGAGAAGTCCAGTGGGATGTCGGTAGATCTGAATGGGAAAGTGAAGACATTTCTTTTTGGTCATATTTTTCTAGATGTGTTTTTCCTTTTTTTCAGATACACTCTCTCAGGGAAGACTGCCTCTTTCTGTACCCTACAGAGAGATTAGTGAATGCATAATCACACAGTACCAGGTCCGGTTCCTAGGCGTTTCTCATTAAATTCTCTGTCATTCCCTCTGTGGGAAACTGGGAAACTTATCAGATTTTCATTCAGGGAGGTGAATTTCTGCTGAGGAAGCAACACAATGGCTTTTACTCTCCGAAGTGCAATTACAGCTGCTTTCCCAACAGTGCTTCCTTCTACCATAGGGCTCTCTCTGTAGGATGTATGTGTTCCATAACCTGACACAGCTTATATATTCACATTTTTTAAAGTTCACTAGTTGTCGTACATTCTGCTCAAAAAAGAGACCCCGAGAGTAAGCGGAATTGTTCATTGTACTAGAATATTAAATGTACCAGAAGAATATACAAAGAC